CAGACTGACTGAAACACACTGCTGAGGGGAGCAGCGGGTGAGACAGGAGAGGTCTGCATCGCCATGTGGGTTTCTCCCTGGCCGGGCAGGGATCGAACTCATGCTGCAGAGACTGCAGATTGCTTCATAGTATGGTACTTAACCCCTTTCGCCACCAGGGAGGTCCTGATTCCAGCCTCTCGAGTCTGCCATGTTGTGGGTGGAGTCCTGATTCACTCATTTATGTATGTTTTTAGCAAATACCCTCAAACATCTGCTGTGTACCCAGCCCCCTGCTAGGTCACATTGGGATACGGTCGGCATGACCGAGACATTGCTGGCCCTGCCTTTTCGGGACCCCCAGTTCATAGAGGCGACCTGCTTCCAGATGGTGCTGATCCTAGAGTGGTTAGAGATGAGCTGGGGGAGCCTAGGGAGAAGGGTGATGGGACCCAGCCGAGGCAGTCAGGAAGGACTTTCTGCCAGAGGAGGCATCTTACTCAGGACCTGAAAACTCAGGGTGAGCATGGAGAAGAGCAAGTATTGCAGGCAGAGGAAACAGCATATGCAGAGGCCCAGTGGCCAGAGATTAAAGAGTTGTGAGCACTGAATGAGGTTGATTTCAAACAGCCAGAGAGTCAGTGATGGGATGCATCATGTCGGGCCTCAGGGTTATTTTATTTTATTTTTTATTTTTATTTTTTCAAAGATTTATTTATTTATACAAGCACTGGGTATAGTCAGAAGCACGGGAGGGTGAGAGAATTCACCAGAGCGGGGAACAGAACAGGCAGACCGATGAAATATATTGCTGAGGGGAGCAGCGGGCGCAGCAGGAGGGGTCTACTCGTCATGTGAGACCCTCACTGGTGGCTGGGGATCAAACCGGCCCTGCAGAGGCTGCGGGCAGCTTCGCAGCCCAGCGCTCAACTGCTGCACCACCAGGGGAGGCCCTATTTTATCCAGAGGTGTGGAGGGTGAGAGGATTCATCAGAGACAGAGTGGGGAGCAGAACAGGCAAATTGACTGAAGTACACTGCTGAGGGGAGCAGCGGGCGAGTCAGGAGAGGTCTGCTGTGCCAGTGGGTTGCTCCCTGGGCAGGCTGGGGATCGAACTCGTGCTGCAGAGGCTGTGGAGATCTTCAAAGGTTGCATCTTAACCCCTTGCGCCACCAGGGAGGCCCCATCTCGGGGTTATTTTAAAGAGTTAGGACTTTCTCTGTGAACAAGTAGAGAGCACCCTGTGGTTTTCTGCAGGACAGGACCTTGGCTTTGGTGCCTTTTTATTTGCTTGACCCATAACTCCGTGGTGTGCGTGAGTATTGAAGGGTAGGGCTGGGAAAGGGAAGGGAAGGACTAGAGAAAGACAAACTGGGCTGGCACAGGCTAGGGGATCACCTGGCATGTGACAGACCAGATGAATAATCAGATAACTAATCAGGTCGCTATCAAAACATTCCAAGGTGATAATCCCAACTCTTACATGCATTTTATGTGTATGCATGAGTTCTTGCACGCAAATGTTTTTTGTATTCTCAGTTTAAAGAATGAAACCATTCTGTAAGGTTTAGCATAACAAACAGCAGTTCTCAGCCCCTCGCTTCCTGCCCTGGACCCTTTTGGGTCATATTTTTCTGACAGGCACTTATCCTCTCTGCCTCAGTTTGTTTTTTTTTTTTTTAAGATTTATTGATTTATTTATACAAGCACTGGGTACAGTGAGAAGCGTGGGAGGGTGAGAGAAGTCACCAGAGCCAGAGCAGGGAACAGAACAGGCAGACTGATGAAACACACTGCTGAGGGGAGCAGCGGGCGTGGCAGGAGAGGTCTGCTCGCCATGTGGGACACTTGCCGGCGACTGGGGATCAAACCGGCGCTGCAGAGGCTGTGGGCAGCTTCGCAGCCCAGCGCTCAACTGCTGCACCACCAGGGGAGGCCCGGCCTCAGTTTCTTTTCAAGCAGCAGCTTCCTGAGCTATAATGACAGTCACTATAAAGCACATTGATATGTAAGGTTGCTGTGTTGACATGTATACACCTGTGAAATCACCACTGTAGCAAAAATAGTGAACACATCTCATCGCCCCCAAAGTTTGCTCCAGCCACTGCTCCTCAGCCCCAAGGAGCCACCGGCTAGCTTCTCTCAGTAGCCATCACAGATGCCAGGTTGCAGGCCCGCACACGAGGCTTCTTGTGGCACATGTAGCTTGGGGTGGGAGGAAGCTTGATTTAGGGTGCCCTGCCAGCTGGGGCAGGCATGGATGGGGCTGGCTCTCTGCCCTGACTCCAGAGTCCCCTCCCATTCCAGCGGGGGCGTTTTTCTGTCTTGAACAAGGTCTTGTAGCTTTCTTTGATTTTTGATGTGAAATTCACATCATACACAATCATTTGATAGTGAAGAGTTCCAAGCATTTAAGTCATTCACTGTGTATCTAGTTCCAAAACATTTTCATCACCCCAAAGAGCAACTTAGTTCCCATTAAGTCACCACTCCCCATTCCCACCAATCTGCTTTCTGTCTTTGTGAACTTACCTAAGTATTCTGGACATTTCAGATAAATGGAAATCAGATGGTACGTGGCCTTTTCTCGCTCAACATAATGTTTTTGAGATAGATGCTGATGTTAGTATTTTATTCCTTTTTTAAAAAAATTTATTTATTTATTTATACAAGCACTGGGTACAGTCAGAATCGTGGGAGGGTGAGAGAATTCACCAGAGCTGGAGCAGGGAACAGAACAGGCAGAGTGACAAAATATACTGCTGAGGGGAGCAGCAGGCGGCAGGAGAGGTCTGTGCGCCATGTGGGACCCTTGCCTCCTTTTTTTGGCTGTATAATATTCCATTGTGCAGACAAACTGTGTTTATTTTTTTAAAGATTTATTCATTTATGCATACAATAGCTGGGGTACAGGCCAGAGATGTGGTGGGGTGAGAGGATTCACCAGAGACAGAGTGGGGAACAGAACAGGCAGACAGACTGAAATGCACTGCTGAGGGGAGCAGTGGGTGAGTCAGGAGAGGTCTGCTGCACCATGTGGGTTGCTCCCTGGCCAGCCGGGGATCAAACTTGTGCTGCAGAGGCTGTGGACAGCTTCATAGGTTGCGTCTTAACCCCTTGCACCACCAGGGAGGCCCTGTGTTGTTGGTTTTTTTAAAGATTTATTTATGCATACAGGAACTGGAGTGTGGGGGGTGAGCGGATTCACCAGAGTGGGGAACAGCACAGGTGGATCTACTGAAATACACTGCTGATGGTGAGACAGGAGAGGTCTACTGCGCTATGTGGGTCACCTGGCTGGCTAGGGATCAAACTCCTGTGGCAGTGGTTGTGGATAGCTTCATAGCGCTGCGTCTTAACCCCTTGCACCACCAGGGAGGCCTAAAGACTCTGTGTTTATCTACTGGTCTTTTTTTTTTTTTTTTTTTAAGATTTATTTGTTTATTTATTTATTTATTTATACAAGCACTGGGTACAGTCAGAAGCGTGGGAGGGTGAGAGAATTAATCAGAGCCAGAGCAGGGAACAGAGCAGGCAGAAGGACCGAAGTACACAGCTGAGGGGAGCAGCGGGCGGCAGGAGAGGTCTGCGTGCCATGTGGGACCCTCCTCCGGTGGTCGGGGAGCAGCCGGGGATCGAACCGGCACTGCAGAGGCTGCGGGCAGCTTCGCAACCCAGTGCTCAACCGCTGCGCCACCAGAGGAGGCCCTATCTACTGGTCTTTTGATGAACCACTGGGGCCATTTCCACCTTTTGGCTATTGTGATTAGTGGTGGATGAACATGCGTGTAACTTGCATTCTTGGGCTTTGTGTCTCCGCTGGGAGGGCTGGTGGAAATGTAAGTTGGTGCTGTCACTGAGCAGTTTCGCACACCCCAGAAATCTCACTTTCCCCCTTATAGTAACTGTATCCCCAAAGGGTAACCACCTACGGATTATGTGCCTCTTGGGGGGCTTCCTATGAATGGACTCGCCTGTGTGTTTGCCTGTTATACAAGTGACTGTTATGGGTGTGGTTCGTTTGTTCTCACTGCTGCTGTTTTAATGTGTGCCTTTGTTTAAACCAACCCTACGGTTGGCAGCCACGTGCGTCAGTTTCTTCATCATTTGTTCATAGCACAAGGTAGCACGCAGGTCAGACTTCTGTGTTCCACCCAGCAGCTGACTCATCAGTTGTTTCAGCATTGAGCTTCAGTAGTTGCTGGCAACCAGTTTCGAGAGTGGGTGTCCCCCAATACCTATTGCAGCCTGGATGTGTTTCAACAATTAGGATGTCCAGGGTTTTCATTGCAGCCACTTCTGGATGTATATAGTAATTTTGTTATACCCCAGAACCCCCAAAAGTGTCTGCTCTGAATAGGTTCTGACATCCGCCGCAGCAAGACAAAATATATAGACCTTTAGTGGGCTAGATATCTTTAATTTAATACCATTAGTGTGCAATACAGAAGAGACAAAGGATATAGTTTCCAAATTGAGCACCCGAAGTCACCCATCCCCTCGTGGGTAAAAGTCCACCCAAACGGAATTGGCCCCAAGCAAGGCCGGAAAGCCTGCCCCAGGTCTGAAGCACCTTCGGGAGGGGACCCCCCACAGAAAGGGGCCAGGAATGGACAAGTCTGGGAGGGAAAGAGCAAAGTCAGAATCAAGATTAAAAGCTGCCGTTGGTGGTGTTGAAGCTTTACGTCTGCATACCAGAGCTGGCCAGGGCCAGGGGTGGGGGGTGGTGAGCGGACTCACCAGGAGGAGGGAGCCCCTGGCCTTTCCGTGGGCGGTGGAGGAGCAAAGGCAGCAAGACGGACACCTGCCCCGACCTGCGCCCCCAGAAGTGCACCCTCCCGCGGGACCTCCCGTCCCGGGCATTTCTCACTCTCCACTCGCCAGAGTTTTCTGGACGCCGTGGCGAGCTGCCGTCCCGTTCTGTTCGAGGCCCCCCCTCTGCGGCGCCTGCGGTTCCCACGCGGACAGTCGCGGACCCCCCCCCCCCCCCCGCGGCGGCGCTGACTGTGTGTCCCCCGCAGTGTACCACTGGGCGGAGATGCGCGCCAAGATGCGCCTCCTGGGCTTCAAGGGGGACGCCGTGAAGCCGCTGAACGAGGACGCGGCGGCCGAGCTGGGCGCGGAGCTGCTGGGCGAGCTCACCATCTTCGTGGTGGCCTGCAGCTGCCTGATGCTGGAGTACTGGCGCCAGCAGGCCAACCACCGGCGCAAGGTGACCGAGCGGCGCGCCGCCTGGAGCTCGCTGCGGGACGAGGTGGACCACCTGGGGCTGGCGCTCGAGGCGCTGCGGGATCAGCTGCAGGCGCTGCCGCCGCCGCCCGCGCCCGGCTCGCTGGAGGAGCTGCAGGCGCAGATGCGCGACGTGCGCGCCCAGCTCCGCGCCCTGAGCGCGCCGTCGGCGCCGCAGGCTGCACCCAAGCCGGAGGAGTAGGAGCCCGCGGGCCCGGCGCCCACGAGACTGTGGTCTGGGCTGCGACGGCCCCGACGCGGCCTCTGTCCACAGGCCCTTCCTAGCTGGCCAGGCCGAGGCCCCCCGGGTCCTGGCCTGGGGCTGATCCGGCCAGGCTTTCGGTCCCCTCCCTACCCTCGCGCCCCGCAGCGCTTCCACCGAACCCCCTCGCGGGTGGAGCCCTGGACGGGAGCCCCGCCCCAGCTTCCAGGGCCGTGGGTGTAGCCCCTGGGACGAGACAGGCAGGGTCTGCCGGTCGCCCACTGCTCCAAGGGCGGGCAGCAGCACACCTGTCTCCCCTCTTCAGTCACTCACCCCCGCCCACCTGAGGCGTGGTCCTTACCTAGGGACCCTCATCCATCACAGCAGAACACCCCGTGCCCCCTCATTGGTAGTAAGGCTATTGCAGTGAAAACGCAGACACTGGCAGAGCACCCCGCCCCCCATGGTCTACCTCACTCCGCCCGTGCAGAAGGTGGGGGGGCGATAGGAGAGCATTAGGCACCAGGGGCTCCTGCCTTCACTCCAGCGTTGGTCCCTCAACTCGGGCCCTCCCCTCTTGGAAAGGATGGTGCCCAGACAAGCCTCCCACCCCCAACACACATTAGTTCTTGCACAACCCTCTGAGCCACAGGCTGTGCAGGCTTCTGGGTGCCACCAGAACCCACCCTCCCCCGCCTCCTGTGTCCTGCAGGTGGTGGGTGCCTGAGGAAGAAAACGCAGTCCCGCCTGGGGCTGCCTCATTCTGACTCCAGTATTGGCCAGCTCACCTGTCCAGAAGTGCTGGACATCTTGTTGCCTTTCCCACTGGCTGCTCATGGGCACCCACCCGTTCCCCTACTGCATGGGTCACTGTCACGCCCACCATCTTCCACCCAGACCTGCTCCTCGGGACACTCGGGGGTTCCCTGCCCTTCATGCCTCCGGATCGGTCCCCCAGCTCCTGCTCCACGCAGCCTTCTTCTTGTGGGACCACCTGCCCCTCCGCCTGGAAGTTTCCCAGCCTCATCCAAGTGGAACATTCCACCAGGCAAAGTTCCCCACCCCAACCACCCCCTGCAAAGCCACTGAACTGCTGAGGGGGGTGTGCGAGCTCCGTGACTTCTGAATTCTATTCTTTCTTTTATTTTTTTTTTTAGCCTGTAAATGTTTTATAATTAAAGGAGCTCTGAGGTAAACAAGTCACTAAGAAAGTGTCTCAGCACCATGGTGTACATCTGCAAAGTGGGCACAGGGCTCATTAAAGTCAGGAGAGAAGCTGAAAAGTGCACAGTCCTCTTATGAGCCCTTTCCTAGATGGAGAAAGAGACCCAGAGGCTGAAGAAGGGGCTGCCCAGGCTTGGCTTTCTCACCTGGGGAGGCAGGGTGGGGAGGAGGGAGGGAAATGCCTGGAGAGGGTTTGGAGAGGGAGAGGGGCAGAGACCATCTGGCTACAGGGAGCAGCTTGAGGAAACCAGTAGAGGTGTAGGGTGGAAGGAAGAAGATGAGGGTTAGATGGAGGGAGTGAGGGACCCCCCCCCCAGCTGCACAGTCCTCCAAATCACTCCAGAAATCTTAGCATTTATAAAAACTGCCAGATTTATTCCGCAGGGGCCCATTTTCAAGAAGCTAATGGTGAAGGTGGTTGAGGGGTGCATTCTCCCCACTTTTCCTTTTTCCCCTCTTCTTATTTTCCCTAGGGGTAAAAATGGTCTGGACCCAAAATCTAGCCAAATTAAAAAAAAAAAAAAAAAAACCCAAAAAAACTGAGGTTCCAAAAGTTACAGCATCTTAATTCCTTATAGAAAAGGGGAAGGAGCCAGCTGGAAGGGAAGTCCCGGGTAGGGGGAGGCACCCCCAGCCTAGTGGGACATCCCCCCTTTAAATAGCCGTCCTCAATAGGACAAGCTTGGGCCTATAGCATTTAAACCCCCCCACACCCCACCCCATTTTATCAAAACCAAAGAGGAAAAAAATTTCCCTTTCCCCCCCAAACCCAAATATATATATATATATTTTCTTAAAAAAAAAAAAAAAAATCGAAGGCATAAGCGTTAAAGTGAATCTAGAACAAGGGAATGAGAAATTCCCTCCTTTCTTCCCCCTTACTGTGGGGTTAATTGGTACATCCCCAGCAGAGGAACCAGCCCCAAGGGGATGGTAGGGGGGGGGACACCAAAGGGAGCACAGGGTGGGGGCCTCCCCAGCCAATCAGCAGCCAATATGGGTGTAGGCCTGGTGCCAGGGAAGCCACACCCCCTGGCATTTTCCAAGTGGGATGGGGAGTGGGAAAGATGCATTCCTGTATTCCGGTGCTGTCTTCAGCCAATTCCAAGTCAAGTGGAAGCAGGGAAAGCAGGGTGACAGGCCGGGTGCAGAAAGGAGAAACGGGATCTTCCAGGACCCTGTGGTCAGGGGGCGCCCCGCTTCCTCAACTCTTGGACAAAGGCTGGAAGGAAACAAGGGGCAGGGGTCAAGGGCAGAGCCTCTCCCCCCTTCCATTCCAAAACAGGACTCTTTCCGAGGGACATCATGCCTCGGAAATAAATGTTTAAAATAAAAAGCAACCTCACCTTCAATTATTTCCTCTTTCATTTTCTGCAATTCCTTCCTCACCTCTTCCAGAAGCTCCTGAAAATAATGGGTTGTAACCAACCAGGAAGGGGCCTGGACTTGCAGCAACAAACCCCCCTTAATGGCTGCAGAGGCAGAGGAAGCAGGTTCAAGACCCCAAAACACACACACACACACACACACACACACACACACACACACACACACACTTCATGACATCAATGACAAGGCCCCAGAGTGACTGGACAGTTCTAGAGGAGAATTCTGGAATGTTGTTGTCAGAAGAAAAGGACTGGAGAACATCCAGTACCAGGGTTGGCAAATACATTCCTGTCTCCTGCCAATTGGTGATGGATGCTTGGGACCAGTTTGCTGGTCCCAAGGGATTCTGGGTACTCAGCAGGAATGTGAATGGTGGTAGATTAATAATGTCTGTCATGGTCACTGGAAAAATTGGTTGTGGTGGCTGCGTCATTGCTGACCTGACCCATTTGCTCCCATTCTCAGACTGGCAAACTGACGTTTGGCAAGGCCAGCTGACCAGTGGTTGAGTCTAGAACCCGTTGCCTTTTCTTCCTCTAGCTTCGTTCTAGTCTCCAGCCGCACAGCCCAAACCCCCACGGAAACTACCTGCTTCACCCTCTCCAGGTCTGACTCATCATTGGAGCTTGGCGTAGAGGGGTGGGCCTCGGAAGTGGTCACTGAAGAGGACTTCATCCTGGGAGATGGTGTGAATTGGAACAGAAATGGGGTTAGCGGGCCTGCCCCTCCCCCACCCACTTCCCATTCCAAAAGCCTCTTTGTGTTCTCTCCTACAAATCGGGCAGATCCAACTCCTTTGGGGAGGTTGGGGTCCCAGTACTGATGGCCCACCTTGGCAAAGTTGTGCTGTTCTTCTCCCAGGGTCTCCGCACAGATTCTGGGGGACGGCAACAGATTGGAAAGATCAGGGACCAGGTATGCCTGGTCTCCATCTCTCCCCCTCCCCAGCTCACTTTGCCCCTGTTCAAAGACCCCTATCAGCAGAGTATAAGCCCTAGTGTTATGTGCACAGATTTCCCCCATAAAGTGCTTTAAATGTGTGAGAACAGGGCATCTTGGGACTTGCAGTTCCTACGGCTAAGACCAGCTGTCACTCACCACTCTGCACTGGGACTCTGGCCTCTGGCTCCTCCTGCTGGTGCGAAATAAAACTGTCAGAAGCCAAGAAACTGCTACAACTCTAGTCCATTCTCATGTCCAGGCTCAAACCCAGCCTCCATCCCTATCATATCCCCGCCCCAATATCCCCACTGCCATGGTAGGGCCTGAAGTATATATGATAGGAAGAGCCCCAAACTCACATTGGCAGACTCATCCTTGGGGGGTTTCTCCCCGACCTGTGTGGCTTTCCTTCTGCAGGAAGAAAAAGGCAAAAATGGATGGCTTTCAGCCCTCCTTAGCTGCTTGGCAGTTTCCTTACCCAGAATTCTAGAAAGGTGAATGCTAGGATGTTGACTTGTGGAATTTGTGGAGGCTACAGAAAGTTCTGTGTTTTAGAAGTTAAAGAGAGGGCTGTTCTCCCTCTATTTGGGGTGATCCCCCCCATGCACTCACACATTTGGGATCACAACATCCCAAGGGCACAGGGCCATGACATAAATGTTCTCAGAATCTGAGTTTCCAGATTCAGAGGCAGCATCTCTTAGGAACCTAGAGTGCAGGGGGTCTTAGAACATTCTAGAGGTGACCTAGGTGACTCAAATCTTCGTGATCTCAGGAGAATGCAATCCTCAGCACTCTGTCCCAACCCTGGCTACCACAGGGGGAACTTTCACCTTCAGAAACAAACTGGGAATCTCCTCCCCCACCTGGCCCTACAGAACCGGAATCTCCAGGTCAGAAGTGCTGGTCAGAGGGGGGGTTTCTGAGTCTCCCAAGGGCGTGGGCTCACCTCCGGGCCAGCATGGCGTTCATCTCTTCCATGAGCCCCCCCCCAGTGCTTCGACTGCTCTCAGCTTTGGGGGCTGAGGGCCCTCCTGAGGCCTCCTCCTGTTGGAGAAATTACAGAAGAAGGGGCTTTATAGGCTGGCCTCCTGGCCCCCCAGCCCCCTTCCAATGCCCTCAGGCATCTCCAGCCTCCTCCCATTATTCCACCAGGCCCAGCCACCTGACACACCTGACCCCTCACCTTGCTAACTTTCCTGAGTTTGGCTCCAGCAATGGCGGCGGCCAGGCCAGGGGCTCCAGCCCCTCCCGCACTGGGGCCTTGTGCTGTGGGGAGAGGGGGTGCAGGGGGTGGACCTCCCCCTGCTGCATGGCCTGCAGCTGGGGCTCCCGAGGAGGGCAGACCTGGAGGTGGAGGGGGCCCCGGGGGAGGAGGAGGTCCTGGAGGTGGAGGTGGTCCCCCACCACTTGGGGGAGCAGGTGGGCCTGTGAAACAAATAGAAAAGGCGGGGTGCTGAGAGACAAGCCTCATTCTTTGCAATCGGGCTGGCCTACCCCTCAGGGGAGTGCCCCACCACCCTTGCCACTGGGGTAATCACCTGCATTGGAGACCCGGCGCTCACGCTCCACTTGCTCCGGCTGCCCCGGCTGCTGCCTGAGGAGAGCGGTGGAACAGCCATCACTTGGGGTTCCCAGGATGGCTTCTCTCAGAGGTGCCACTGAGGCTGCTCCTAACCCCCACCCGTGCCTGCTTTCCTGCGGGGCAGGGAAAGGGGTGTGGAGGCGGGCAGGGACAGCGGGATGGCTGCCAGGATGGCAGCATTCTGGCCACCAGACGGTCAAGAGCACCGAGTCGCAAAAGCCTAGGATCCTTAAATAGCCAGATTCTGGGGTTTGGGGGCCCAGGACTTGGGAGGTGAGGAAGGACTCAAACTCTGGGTGTTTCTCAAATGCCAAGAGGGGGTGGTGTCTGGAACCTGTCCGTTTCTAGCCCTGAGGGAGATGGAACATTCTAGAGGCTGGAAGTGGGGGAGTACTGAACTTCAGGGTCAGGGGTTCTGGAATATCCTAGAACTCTGGCCCAGGCAAGGTTCCTCCCATCCAGGGACTGGCCCCACCTTTTCTGCTGCTCCACCTCCTCCGGGGAGGGGCCGTTCTGGACAGGCCAGGTGGGAGGGGCAGGTGGCAGAGGCCCACCACCTGGAAGGTGAGAGTAGAAAAGGGTAATGAGTCAACCCCAGGATGCTGCCCTGCCCTGGAACATTCCCTCACTCTCCCTGGCCTCCCAAGAATCCAGGCGCTCACTTCCTCCTGCCTGGGGGACCTGACACCAGGCTGACGTGAGCACCTGGATGAAAGCTGGGCTGAGGGCCAGCACCAGCTTCCCCTGACCGAGCGGCCGAGGGTTGGGCTGGGTGACGATGCCCACATGGCAGGTGAGACAGCGAAGACCCAGAAGGGGCTGTCACTTGCCCCAAAGCCAAAAGTCTGGGCTTTACGGGAGCAAGCCTGGGATTGGGGCTACTTCAACATCCAGGTTTTCCCCCCCGGGCACGGCCCAGGGAAGGCTGAGTGGCTCCTCCTCACTGCCCCAGCTTCAGGCCCTGGGACCCAACCCCACCTTCCTCTTTTCTCTGTGCCTCCCCAGACAGCCCAGCTCCTCCCCCCAGGAAACAAACACCGCTGCCATTGGGCACGGTGAAGTTCCGCAGCCTCACCCAGCTCGGCTGCTGAGGACACCTACAGCCTGGCTCCTCAGAGGCTGGCAGGGGCATCACCAGGGGAGGTTAGAAATGCAGAGGCCCGGGCCCCAGCCCAACAGAACCAGCACCTGCGTTTTACGCAGATGAAGGATGAGCGTGTTTAAGAAATACCAACTGCAGGTTTTTTTCCTTAACATCAATGCCTGAAAACGACTGATGACATGTCATCAGTTACGTAATCCAAGGGCACAGGGAGCCTTGTGGGGGTTGGAGATATCTATAGCTGGATCTGGGAGGCGCCCCACGCGAGTGAGCACGTGTGGAAATGGATGGAGCAGACAGCGCCCTTCGGGATCATGCATTTTCTGTGTGGGTGCACACGCGGGGAACACAGGAACCCACAAAATCCTCACAATAACGAATTAGCCCATTTTACAGATGAGCACACTGAGGCCGCGTGGTAAACCATTGCCCAGCCACTCGGCAGGGCTCTGCAGTGCCTACTGCCCGCTGGCTCTCACCTTCCAGGGCCTCTAGGGCACTGGCCATGCCAGCAGCGAACTGGGCCGCATCCTCCTTGCTGCCAAAGTTGAGGCCCCAGACTTGCCGGGCATCGCGCCACTGATGGAAGTTGGGGGTGGCCTGGTTGTACTTGACACCCCGGATGATGGCACAGTTGATGACCACCTGGGAGCAGGGGAAAAGGGAGATGAGGGGTGACAGTCGTAGCAGTGGAGAGCCAGCTCAGCCCGAGGTGGGGGAAGGGAGAGGGCCTTCACCTGCTGGTCTGGCTGCATCTTCCGGCCGACCACCCGGAAGGAGTTGGCCGTGGGGTTGTGGTAGATCTGGACGCGGCTGAAGGCCTGGGGGCCCGTGCCGGCGGGCAGCCACCGCTTGTTGCTGTCATCATAGAGCATCACAGTGGCCCGGCTGGAGCAGACCACGGTCTCGCTGCCAGGAACAGGGAGAGGAGAGCGGCGGTCAGCCCAGGGAGCCTGCAGCCTCCCCGGGGGCCCGACCCTTTCTGCCTCCGGGTGCCCCCGGGAGAATGGAGGTGACAAAGTGTGACCGGCAGAGCAGCACCCGGGGAGGCAAGCCCTGGGGCAGGGCAGAGACTGGGAGGACGTCAGCCAGCCGGGAGAGACAGAGAAAGAGATAGTCGGGAGGTGACACAGACCAGGAAAGAGACAGATGGGGCGGGAGAGACAAACAGACAGACGCAGGACGAAGAGTCAGACCCACAAAGGCAGACCAGGGGACAGGTGGGGGAGGGAGATGGAGACAAAGATGCAGGAAGCTGGGATCAGACAGGAGGAGGGGATCAGACAGATGAGTGGGGGCAGGCAGAAGCTCAGGGTGGCACTGAGAACCAGCCCCGGCCCGCTGCACCCCCCTGTCTCTACCAGGTGCTTGGGTCCCCTATTTCCCCACTTGGTCAGAGGAGGAAGCTGAGGCTGGAGGGAGGGGCAGTGTGAGGCCTGCGGCCAGTTGGGGACTGATGCTAGAGCCAGCTCCCCACTTCCTGCTGCCCCCCACCTCCGCCGCCCCCCCGCCCCCGCAGTGAACCAAGGGCTATTGCAGACTCGCCCTGTGTCAGGCCCAAGTCCAGCAGCAATGCTGCCACCCCGCCCTCAAGTGCAGGAGACCGTCCCATCCCGATGGCTACCCAGGGCCAGCGCCAGGGAGGACTTCCTGGTGGAGGTGACAGCTAACTCAACCTTGGGGGACAGGTTGGCAAATTGGTTCAGTGCTTAGGATCTGATCCACAGACCTGGAGGTTCAAATTCCCGCTGAGCCACCTACTCCATGTGACTCAGGCAAGCGACCTTCCCCTCGGGCACTAAATGACAGTCCCACCACTTCCCAGGGCGGTAGGAGGAGTGAGTGAGTTCGGGTACTTAAAGCACTTGGCACAGTGCCTGGCACATACTGCGTACTTGGTAGCTGTCAGCATCCTTTTCATCGGCACCCGGAAAACGTAACCATGGGGGAGCCTGGATAGTCAGTTTCAATGTCCCCATGCCCAATGAGGAAACTGGGGCTCCCAGATGGGAAGTGACTTGCTCAAGTGCACACAGACCAGGGGGAAGTGCTACTCTCCACCCCACCCCCACCAGACTTTTTCCTGAAAAGAGGAAGTTGGTGCTCAGGGATTTCCGGGGAGCAAAATTATACCCCATACAATGGCTGTCTCTACCGGGCTGGGGACTGGGG